CTCGTAGACGAGGGGCCAACTTCCGACGTGCTTTGTCGGAAGGAGCTGAGAGGAACTCGATCAGCTGCTTCGCGTCTGCGTCATGCGCATACGCGCCGACGTGGACTCGTCATGGGTACACTTTGAAGGTGAATCTGGTGTGGACCACACTCAAATACACATTTCTCCCAAAGACGTCCACAGTCACAACAGTGTCCGCACCAACGGTGCTAGCGCTACGGCGAAAGTCACTACACCATAATATGCTGACTGCTCGAATTGATGATCGAAAATCTGTGGCAGGATATCTAACGAACTTTGTGGAAGCACAATATCGTGGAGCAGCAAACCGAGAAAACGGTTGCGCTTCACACGACAGAAGCAGAATATATGGCGCTTAGTTTGCTGGTTCAAGAAGTGATCCACCTGCGCCAAATGTTTAAAGAATTGAAGGAAAAGCAGAAAGCACCGACGGTGGTGTTTGTGGACAATGAGAGTGCCAAGAAGTTGGCGAGGAATCCTGAATTTCATAATTACACCAAGCACATTGATGTGAGACATCACTTTGTGCGCGAACGTGTCGAGCTGAAGCAGGTCGATGTGTTAAGGGTTCCCGGAGACAAGAACGTTACAGACGCGTTCATAAAACCATTACCGCGTGTCAAGTTTGAGAATCATCGCGCTGCAATGGGACTTATGTCTCAGAAGGAATTTGAGGCAACCAAGAGCAACAATGGAAACCAGTAGGTGGGGCTGTTGCGGAGCGGAGAGTACTGTTCCCCACAGTTGCTGCGGTGTCTGTGTTTGTATGGGTTCTTTATCCCGTGAACGCGTTGAGAGGCTGGAGGTTTTCCCGCGTAGTGCAATTGTCCTAACGCGGTTGGCCACTACAACTGACGGTTAGAGGCAGGGTAAAGTTTAACTGAGCCCAAAGACCACTCTACAAAATACAGAGCTGAGTGGCAGCAACCTCGAGCAAAGTAAAGTTTAGCGGTACAAAGTGAATGTAACCACGTATATTGAGGGCCCGGGCGGTGGACCTGAGGGGTGCGCAGGTTGAAGAAAACGAAATGGAATGTATTCATAACTCAAACTTGTTTTAAAAAACCATGTCATGCTCAATGGATCGTATAGTATCTGCAGATAACGCACGCAAGACGAGTTTCTAGCGCCGCTAATGGGGACCTAGACCATTAGGTTGCATGTTTTCGAAGCGAGCTAATACTTTCTTCTCAATATATGTTTTTTTCATGCGACTATAATAATTTTAGTCGGTTCTTTCCCGATTCAAGGACTCGGTCGTGGAAGTTCCAAACACGGTCGTGCATCCGAGTATGCACCGCACCCTAAACGTCGCGGAGTGTATCAACGGTCTGAACTAGACAGGAACCATCTACGGTAGTGGCTGCCTTACACGTGTTATATTAGCAGTGTCCAAAGTACTAGCGGGAGTAGATTGTGGTTAGGAGACGTAGAGCCCCAGGTACTCGGTCATACTAGCGAAGGTTAATGCTAGCAGACGGAAAATGCACGTCGTGGACGTTGCATTCTAAATTCCAAACCGTGGGTGGGCATCGATGGTGCTTGCTGTATTAGCAGCGCTCAAA